AACGGGGAGGGGAGAGGAGCGAGAGGATTCGGTAATACTCGAAGTACACCGGTATATATAGCGTAAGTGGATAAGCGGAGAGTAGTAGGAGACTGCTGCCATCCGCCAACTAATCCGTCCCCTTCGGCGTATGGTGAGTGGCCAGGACGTATCAATCGGAAGGCTGGTATAAGTTTCCGCCGTTGTGGTCCGCCGGTACGGAGGTTAGCTGTCGTGGTCAGTTTCGAATTGCGGCGATGTCAGTGACAGCTGTGCTCGAGAGCCGCGTATTGAACTCACGTCCAGTCACGCTCCTTTATACCTACTTACCTTGTCCCCCCCACCACCACCTCCTTCCATTCTCTCCTTCCCTCTCCGCGACGCTGCCTCTTTCTCTTCTTCCTTCCCTTTCTTCCCGCTTTCCTGACCGCTTCATCTTCTCACCGCGCTCTTTCCAATATACGTATATATTATATATATATGTATACACACATACATATACACTTCGAGAGAAGTTCGTTTCTTTTCGAAAGGAGCGAGGCACTCGTCTAATAGGACACGCCAATCGGTAATAATAAAGCGAGAGCACGAGAGTTTGGTTTACTCCCTCGCCGTTAAGACTAAGTATCTATCGGTAAATTCGGTATTTTCGTTTTCTTCGGAGCTGAACGTTGCGTTCAGCCCCGATCGATCGAAACGTTTCTAGATATTTATTTCTACGATTACGTCTCGATATACTCGAATAGTATGTGTGTGTAGCATCCACATGCGGTGTTTTTCGAAAAGAACAAAGGAAGTTTTGCGACAAAGCGAGCATGAGGTGCATGCCGGGGAGCTGTTTAACTTGCCAATTACCCGGAAAGCTTGGCCCATCGAGACGAGTATTAGACGGGTTTCCAACCACGTTTCTATTTTCTCGTGCACGCCTCTCTTTCTTACTTACTTGTCCGGTGAGAGGAGGGAGGAAGGATTTCACGAGTGCGTTGGCTTCCTCGGTTCCTTCTTTGTTCCGATTTCGTTCGTCTACGAACTGAACTCGGTGTAAGAGGTGGGGAGGAAGGGAGGAGCATGATGATATTACGCCGGAGCAGACGATGCTCCGGAGAACGAGATCGGTGCTCGTAAGGAAGAATAGAGGACGAGGCTGGCGGAGTCGAAGCATCGGTATACGTTTTCGAGACGTTCCAGGACGGTCGCTCTGGGACGCTTCCACGCAACGAGCAAGTCTTATCTTCGCTATGCGCTCGTCGAGGGGTAGGGGGAGGGGGCGTATCAACCCTTCACGGTTTACTTCCGTTATTCTTCGACCGCCCACCAGCTACGCGACGTGCTTGTCCTAGGTTTTCTTCACGAATACGTTTCTTACGTACGAACGCACACCCTTTTCTCTTTCTTCCTCTTTATACGTGTGTACATATATGTACACATATGCATATACACTATATTTTTTTCCTCGACGATCGAACGAGAGAACCGCGCGACGATTCTCGCCCTAGGTGCGTGAGTATTTTTGGAAAGCGGAGGATGGTCGGGCAGAAATTACAGAAAAGCGTGACCGAGAATCGACGAACGAGGCGGACGAGGACAGAGGCCTGAACGACAAAAAGGGGAGACTTG